CTCTCTCTCTCTCTCTCTCTCTCTCTCTCTCTCTCTCTCTCTCTCTCCCTACACACATCAAAATAACAGGAAATTAACAATAGCTAGTCATTAACATTTCTCAACACAATGGACTCAATTCTCCAATAAAAAGACACGGCTAACAAAATGGATATAAAAACAGGATCCTACATTTTGCTGCATATAAGAAACACAACTCAGTAACAAAGACAGTCATTACCTCAGAGTAAAGGGTTGGGAAAAGTACAAAATTCTACCAGATTTTCAAAGAAGAGCTAATACCAATACTCCTCAAACTGTTCCACAAAGTAGAAACAAAGGGAATATTGTCAAACTTATTCTATGAAGCCATAGTCATTCTGATACCTGAACCACAGAAAGACTCAATAAAGAAAGGGAACTTCAGACCAATTTCTCTTATAACCATTGATGCAAAAATGCTCAATAAAATACTCATAAACCAAATTCTGGAATACATCAAAAACATCATTCATTATGCTCATGGATACATAGGATTAACACAGTGAAAATGGCCATCTCAAAAAAAACCCCAATATTTAGATTCAATGTAATCCCCATAAAATTCTTTTCTTTTATTTATTTATATTTCAGATGTTTTCCCCTTTCCCCATTCCCTCCCCCAGAATCCCTCTATCCCATCCCCCCTCCTGCTTCTGTGAAGGTGTGCCCCCACTCACCCACCCACCCACTCCCACCTCCCCACCCTCTAATTCCCCCACACTGAGGCATCCAGCCTTCATAGAACCAAGGATTTCCTTTCCCACCTATGCCCAACAAGGCCATCCTCCCCTACATATAGAACTGGAGCCATGGGTCCCCCCCTGTGTGCTCCAAGGCTGGTGGTTTAGACCCTGGGAGCTCTGGTTGGTTGGTATTGTTGCTCTCCCCATGGGGCTGCAAACCCCTTGAGCTCCTTCAGTCTTCTCTCTAACTCCTCCATTGGGAACCCCATGATCAGTTCAATGGTTAGCTGCAAGAACCCACCTCTGTATATGTCAGGTTCTGGCAGAGCCTCTAAGGAGACAGCTATATCAGGCTCCTGTCAGCATGAACTTGCTGGCATCCACAACAGTGTCTGCCTTTGGTGACTGCACATGGGACGGATACCCTGGTGAGGCTGTCTCCGGATGGCCCCTCCTTCAATTTCTGTTCCACACTTTGTTTCCATATTTGCTCCCATTAGTATTTTGTTACTCCTTCTAAGAAGGACCAAAGCACCCACACTTTGGTCTTCCCTATTCATGAGCTTCATGTGGTCTGTGAGTTGTATCTTGGGTATTGTGAGCTCTTGGGCTAATATCCAATTATCAGTGAGTGAATACCATGTGTGTTCTTTTGTGATTGGGTTACCTCACTCAGGATGACATTTTCTAGTTCCATCCATTTTCCTAAGAATTTCATGAATTCATTGTTTTTAATAGCTGAGTAATACTCCATTGTGTAAATGTACCACTTTTTTTGTATCCATTTCTCTGTTGAAGGGCATCTGGGTTCTTTCCAGCTTCTGG